TGCTCCAGCTTTGTGACTATGGTGACATGCCCACGGTCTAGTGTTGTTATACTGCTCCAGCGTTGTGACTATGGTAACATGCCCGCAGTCTAGTGTAGTTATACCACTCCAGCGTTGTGTCCATGGTAACAGTCCCGCAATGAAGTGTATTCATACCACTCCAGTGTTGTGACTTTAGGTGACTAACCCACAGCTGAGTTTGTTTTATCTGTGTAAGTGTAACTACAGCTCTGTGTCGTCATACTACCTCAATGTTGTAAGTATACCTACAGCTCTGTGTCGTCATAGCACCTCAATGTTGTAAGTGTACCTACAGCTCTGTGTCGTCATACTACATCAATGTTGTAAGTGTACCTACAGCTCTGTGTCGTCATAGTACCTCAATGTTGTAAGTATACCTACAGCTCTGTGTCGTCATAGCACCTCAATGTTGTAAGTGTACCTACAGCTCTGTGTCGTCATACTACCTCAATGTTGTAAGTGTACCTACAGCTCTCTGTGTCGTCATAGCACCTCAATGTTGTAAGTGTACCTACAGCTCTGTGTCGTCATAGCACCTCAATGTTGTAAGTATACCGACAGCTCTGTGTGGTCATAGCACCTCAATGTTGTAAGTGTACCTACAGCTCTGTGTCGTCATAGCACCTCAATGTTGTAAGTGTACCTACAGCTCTGTGTCGTCATAGCACCTCAATGTTGTAAGTGTACCTACAGCTCTGTGTCGTCATACTACCTCAATGTTGTAAGTGTACCTACAGCTCTGTGTCGTCATAGCACCTCAATGTTGTAAGTGTACCTACAGCTCTGTGTCGTCATACTACCTCAATGTTGTAAGTATACCTACAGCTCTGTGTCGTCATAGCACCTCAATGTTGTAAGTATACCTACAGCTCTGTGTGGTCATAGCACCTCAATGTTGTAAGTGTACCTACAGCTCTGTGTCGTCATAGCACCTCAATGTTGTAAGTATACCTACAGCTCTGTGTCGTCATACTACCTCAATGTTGTAAGTGTACCTACAGCTCTGTGTCGTCATAGCACCTCAATGTTGTAAGTGTACCTACAGCTCTGTGTCGTCATAGCACCTCAATGTTGTAAGTGTACCTACAGCTCTGTGTCGTCATACTACCTCAATGTTGTAAGTGTACCTACAGCTCTGTGTCGTCATAGCACCTCAATGTTGTAAGTGTACCTACAGCTCTGTGTCGTCATACTACCTCAATGTTGTAAGTATACCGACAGCTCTGTGTCGTCATAGTACTTCAATGTTGTAAGTGTACCGACAGCTCTGTGTCGTCATACTACCTCAATGTTGTAAGTGTACCTACAGCTCTGTGTCGTCATAGCACCTCAATGTTGTAAGTGTAGCTACAGCTCTGTGTCGTCATACTACCTCAATGTTGTAAGTATACCGACAGCTCTGTGTCGTCATAGTACCTCAATGTTGTAAGTGTACCTACAGCTCTGTGTCGTCATACTACCCCAATGTTGTAAGTGTACCTACAGCTCTGTGTCGTCATAGCACCTCAATGTTGTAAGTGTACCTACAGCTCTGTGTCGTCATACTACCTCAATGTTGTAAGTATACCGACAGCTCTGTGTCGTCATAGTACCTCAATGTTGTAAGTGTACCTACAGCTCTGTGTCGTCATACTACCTCAATGTTGTAAGTATACCGACAGCTCTGTGTCGTCATAGTACCTCAATGTTGTAAGTGTACCTACAGCTCTGTGTCGTCATAGCACCTCAATGTTGTAAGTGTACCTACAGCTCTGTGTCGTCAAAGCACCTCAATGTTGTAAGTGTACCTACAGCTCTGTGTCGTCATAGCACCTCAATGTTGTAAGTATACCTACAGCTCTGTGTCGTCATAGCACCTCAATGTTGTAAGTATACCTACAGCTCTGTGTCGTCATAGCACCTCAATGTTGTAAGTGTACCTACAGCTCTGTGTCGTCATAGCACCTCAATGTTGTAAGTGTACCTACAGCTCTGTGTCGTCATACTACCTCAATGTTGTAAGTGTACCTACATCTCTGTGTCGTCATAGCACCTCAATGTTGTAAGTGTACCTACAGCTCTGTGTCGTCATACTACCTCAATGTTGTAAGTATACCGACAGCTCTGTGTCGTCATAGTACCTCAATGTTGTAAGTGTACCTACAGCTCTGTGTCGTCATAGTACCTCAATGTTGTAAGTGTACCTACAGCTCTGTGTCGTCATAGCACCTCAATGTTGTAAGTGTACCTACAGCTCTGTGTCGTCATACTACCTCAATGTTGTAAGTATACCGACAGCTCTGTGTCGTCATACTACCTCAATGTTGTAAGTGTACCTACAGCTCTGTGTCGTCATACTACCTCAATGTTGTAAGTGTACCTACAGCTCTGTGTCGTCACAGCACCTCAATGTTGTAAGTGTACCTACAGCTCTGTGTCGTCATACTACCTCAATGTTGTAAGTATACCGACAGCTCTGTGTCGTCATAGTACCTCAATGTTGTAAGTGTACCTACAGCTCTGTGTCGTCATACTACCTCAATGTTGTAAGTATACCGACAGCTCTGTGTCGTCATAGTACCTCAATGTTGTAAGTGTACCTACAGCTCTGTGTCGTCATAGCACCTCAATGTTGTAAGTGTACCTACTGGCTCTGTGTCGTCAAAGCACCTCAATGTTGTAAGTGTACCTACAGCTCTGTGTCGTCATAGCACCTCAATGTTGTAAGTATACCTACAGCTCTGTGTCGTCATAGCACCTCAATGTTGTAAGTATACCTACAGCTCTGTGTCGTCATAGCACCTCAATTTTGTAAGTGTACCTACAGCTCTGTGTCGTCATACTACCTCAATGTTGTAAGTATACCGACAGCTCTGTGTCGTCATAGCACCTCAATGTTGCAAGTATACCTACAGCTCTGTGTCGTCATAGCACCTCAATGTTGTAAGTGTACCTACTGCTCTGTGTCGTCATAGCACCTCAATGTTGTAAGTGTACCTACAGCTCTGTGTCGTCATACTACCTCAATGTTGTAAGTGTACCTACAGCTCTGTGTCGTCATAGCACCTCAATGTTGTAAGTGTACCTACAGCTCTGTGTCGTCATAGCACCTCAATGTTGTAAGTGTACCTACAGCTCTGTGTCGTCATACTACCTCAATGTTGTAAGTATACCGACAGCTCTGTGTCGTCATAGCACCTCAATGTTGCAAGTATACCTACAGCTCTGTGTCGTCATAGCACCTCAATGTTGTAAGTGTACCTACAGCTCTGTGTCGTCATAGCACCTCAATGTTGTAAGTGTACCTACAGCTCTGTGTCGTCATAGCACCTCAATGTTGTAAGTGTACCTACAGCTCTGTGTCGTCATACTACCTCAATGTTGTAAGTATACCGACAGCTCTGTGTCGTCATAGCACCTCAATGTTGTAAGTGTACCGACAGCTCTGTGTCGTCATAGCACCTCAATGTTGTAAGTGTACCTACAGCTCTGTGTCGTCATACTACCTCAATGTTGTAAAGTGTACCTACAGCTCTGTGTCGTCATAGCACCTCAATGTTGTAAGTGTACCTACAGCTCTGTGTCGTCATAGCACCTCAATGTTGTAAGTGTACCTACAGCTCTGTGTCGTCATACTACCTCAATGTTGTAAGTATACCTACAGCTCTTTGTCGTCATAGCACCTCAATGTTGTAGGGTGTGCCTACAGCTCTGTGTCGTCATAGCACCTCAATGTTGTAAGTGTACCTACAGCTCTGTGTCGTCATAGTACCTCAATGTTGTAAGTGTACCTACAGCTCTGTGTCGTCATAGCACCTCAATGTTGTAAGTATACCGACAGCTCTGTGTCGTCATAGTACCTCAATGTTGTAAGTATACCTACAGCTCTGTGTCGTCATAGTACCTCAATGTTGTAAGTGTAGCTACAGCTCTGTGTCGTCATAGCACCTCAATGTTGTATGTGTACCTACAGCTCTGTGTCGTCATAGTACCTCAATGTTGTAAGTGTAGCTACAGCTCTGTGTCGTCATAGTACCTCAATGTTGTAAGTGTACCTAAAGCTCTGTGTCATCATAGTACCTCAATGTTGTAAGTGTAGCTACAGCTCTGTGTCGTCATAGCACCTCAATGTTGTAAGTATACCGACAGCTCTGTGTCGTCATAGTACCTCAATGTTGTAAGTATACCTACAGCTCTGTGTCGTCATAGTGCCTCAATGTTGTAAGTGTCCCTACAGCTCTGTGTCGTCATAGCACCTCAATGTTGTAAGTGTAGCTACAGCTCTGTGTCGTCATACTACCTCAATGTTGTAAGTGTACCTACAGCTCTGTGTCGTCATATCACCTCAATGTTGTAAGTATACCTACAGCTCTGTGTCGTCATAGCACCTCAATGTTGTAAGTGTACCTACAGCTCTGTGTCGTCATAGCACCTCAATGTTGTAAGTGTACCTACGGCTCTGTGTCGTCATAGCACCTCAATGTTGTAAGTGTACCTACAGCTCTGTGTCGTCATAGTACCTCAATGTTGTAAGTATACCTACAGCTCTGCGTCGTCATAGCACCTCAATGTTGTAAGTGTACCTACAGCTCTGTGTCGTCATACTACCTCAATGTTGTAAGTGTACCTACAGCTCTGTGTCGTCATAGCACCTCAATGTTGTAAGTATACCTAGAGCTCTGTGTCGTCATAGCACCTCAATGTTGTAAGTGTACCTACAGCTCTGTGTCGTCATAGCACCTCAATGTTGTAAGTATACCTACAGCTCTGTGTCGTCATAGCACCTCAATGTTGTAAGTGTACCTACAGCTCTGTGGCTATAGCACCTCAATGTTGTAAGTATACCTACAGCTCTGTGGCTGTAGCACCTCAATGTTGTAAGTATACCTACAGCTCTGTGGCTATAGCACCTCAATGTTGTATGTATACCTACAGCTCTGTGGCTATAGCACCTCAATGTTGTAAGTCTACCAATGTAACAATGACGCTTGTATCACCAGGCGCCATAATTGAGAGGGAAGGTCACGACAAAGCTGACATTGAGCTGCCAGCCGGACAGGTGCAGCTTCTTAAAGATGCCGTCGAGTACAGTGAGTACATACCACGTGATGTCATACAGTACAGTGACTACATACCACGTGATGTCATGTCATACAATACTATGAGTACATACCACGTGATGTCATACAGTACAGTGAGTACATACCACGTGATGTCACGTCATACAATACTATGAGTACATGCCACGTGATGCCATACAGTACAGAGAGTACATACCACGTGATGTCATATAGTACAGTGAGTACATACCACGTGATGTCATGTCATACAATACTATGAGTACATACCACGTGATGTCATACAGTACAGTGAGTACATACCACGTGATGTCATGTCATACAATACTATGAGTACATACCACGTGATGTCATACAGTACAGTGAGTACATACCACGTGATGTCATGTCATACAATACTATGAGTACATACCACGTGATGTCATACAGTACAGTGAGTACATACCACGTGATGTCATGTCATACAATACTATGAGTACATGCCACGTGATGTCATACAGTACAGTGAGTACATACCACGTGATGTCATACAGTACAGTGATTACATACCACGTGATGTCATGTCATACAATACTATGAGTACATACCACGTGATGTCATACAGTACAGTGAGTACATACCACGTGATGTCATACAGTACAGTGACTACATACCACGTGATGTCATGTCATACAATACTATGAGTACATACCACGTGATGTCATGTCATACAATACTAAGAGTACATGCCACGTGATGTCATACAGTACAGTGACTACATACCACGTGATGTCATATGGTACAGTGACTACATACCACGTAATGCCATGTCATACAATACAGTGACTATATACCAAACCACGTGATCTCACACAAACCACGTAAATACCGCGTGATCTCACACAGTACAGTAAGTACATACCACGCGATGTCAAACCACGGCTCCACACACCATTTCTCCGACAGATTCAAACACTGCTCCACACAAACACAATTCCATAAACCACTCCTCCGACAGATTCAAACGCAGCTCCACACACACAATTCCACACCGTTCCACCGACAGATCCAAATGCAGCCCCGCACGCACAATTCCTCACACCTTTCCTATGACATATCTAAACACCGCTCCACACACACAATTCCACACACACTTCCTGTGACAGATCTAAATACTGCACCACACACACATTCTGACATATCTAAACAGTCCTCCGAACAGTCGTCCTCACCCTTCCTGTGACAGATATAAACATCGCTCCACACGCACAATTCCTCACACCTTTCCTGTGACAGATCTAAACACTGCTCCACACACACAAATACTCACACTTTTCCTGTGACAGATATAAACATCGCTCCACACGCACAATTCCTCACACATTTCCTGTGACAGATCTAAACACCGCTCCACACACAATTCCTCACACCTTTCCTGTGACATATCTAAACACAGCTCCACACACAATTCCTCACACCTTTCCTGTGACAGATCTAAACACCGCTCCACACCCACAATTCCTCACACCTTTCCTGTGACATATCTAAACACAGCTCAACACACAATTCCTCACACCTTTCCTGTGACAGATCTAAACACCGCTCCACACACACCCACAATCTAAACACCTCACATTCCTCACACCTTTCCTGTGACAGATCTAAACACCGCTCCACACACACAATTCCTCACACCTTTCCTGTGACAGATCTAAACACAGCTCCACACACACAATTCCTCACACCTTTCCTGTGACATCTATCTCCACAACACCGCTCACACACAGATCTAAACACAGCTCCACACACACAATTCCTCACACCTTTCCTGTGACAGATCTAAACACCGCTCCACACACACAATTCCTCACACCTTTCCTGTGACAGATCTAAACACCGCTCCACACACACAATTCCTCACACCTTTCCTGTGACAGATCTAAACACCGCTCACATTCCTCACACAATTCCTCCTCCACACACCTTCATACCTTGTGACAGATCTAAACACCGCTCCACACACACAATTCCTCATACCTTTCCTGTGACAGATCTAAACACCGCTCCACACACAATTCCTCACACCTTTCCTGTGACAGATCTAAACACCGCTCCACACACACAATTCCTCACACCTTTCCTGTGACAGATCTAAACACCGCTCCACACACACAATTCCTCACACCTTTCCTGTGACAGATCTAAACACCGCTCCACACACACAATTCCTCACACCTTTCCTGTGACAGATCTAAACACCGCTCCACACACACAATTCCTCACACCTTTCCTGTGACAGATCTAAACACCGCTCCACACACACAATTCCACACGCAGGGTTCCTCACACCTTTCCTGTGACAGATCTAAACACCGCTCCACACACACAATTCCTCACACCTTTCCTGTGACAGATCTAAACACCGCTCCACACACACAATTCCTCACACCTTTCCTGTGACAGATCTAAACACCGCTCCACACACACAATTCCTCACACCTTTCCTGTGACAGATCTAAACACCGCTCCACACACAATTCCTCACACCTTTCCTGTGACAGATCTAAACACAGCTCCACACACACAATTCCTCACACCTTTCCTGTGACAGATCTAAACACCGCTCCACACACACAATTCCTCACACTTTCCTGTGACAGATCTAAACACTCCACACAAAGCTCCACACATCAGCCACAACTGAGTGTTATGATTCCAGGTGGGAAATGTCCCGATAGTCCTTCTGCTGTTTAACGGGCTGGTCCTCTTAACATGACGTTCGCCGTGGAGAACCACGCATCGTGTCCATCATGGAGGTGTTCTATCCCGCCCAAGCCACAGGGGAGGCGCTCAGGAGGAGTCCCTCACGAACGATGGAGGAAGCAATGTCCCCGCGGGAGACTGCCCCATCTATACGTGGCCCAGGTCTCTGGAAGGCGTAAGTGAACAGTGGGGAGAATATCCTATAGAGAGTCTCCACCAAGTCTATACAGTGCAGCAAGAATATCATTTACCTGGGCCCATATGCCCTAGACGGGCTAGATGACATTTCTCTATATGAACACTACACAGAATATTGTCCCCATCTCTGGACGGGCAAGCATGGACATATCTGTATATGAAGACTACACAATACATTGTACAGGAGATATCTGGACGGGCTACAGGTGACGTAAGTGTGGACGCAAATGTTCGTAGGAACACTTTGGTTTGATGCATATTGTTGTCGAGTTTTGACGACGATCGTCAGCCAGGGAGGAAGCTAGAACAGGTTTATGACAAAACAAAGAGCTGATTGACCACTACTATAGCTGAAAACGTTTTATCTGTTTAGTTTCAGAGATGGTGAATTACTCAATGGCCGGCTGCACCCACCGCTACTTCAAACACAGAAGTGCTTTACCCTTCGGATTCGGTCTTTCATATTCCACGATTTCTCTCCTATGTTGAGGCGATGTACCCGGGAATAATTCAGGCAGGACAAAGCATCAATGTAACTACAGCGGTTGTCAATAACGGGCCTTATGCCGCTGACGAGGTAAATATACGTTCTGTGCATAGAGCTCAGGTCACAAATCAAGTGAAGTTAAACACCGTTGGGCGCGGAGTGTCTTTGGATGGGTGACCGTGTTTGGCAGATTGACGCCAGAGTGTTTCTAGGACTTCAGTCCTGACCCACAATGAAGCACGTGCGGTACATGTGGTCTCAATATAGGCAACTGAGTTCAAAGTTGCCTCTTTTCACCCAGCATAAAATGGGTACCCGGGGGATAAAGTCGTGTGACTATAACCCTCTAGCGCGTAACAGGCAGCTTGGGTTATCCGATTGTTTGGGCGCTTCGAGCATACATTGTGTATGGAGCACTGCACATGATGGGTGGGCTGTCACTGTATACACCCCGTCATGTGTGTCACGAAGACAGGGCACTAGTTTACCCATAGCTTGATCCATGTCCGTATCTACACGTGGAAGTCAGAAGCACGCAGATATCGAGTAAAGTATCACGTTCCATGTTTCATTGATTAAAAACCCATTAAGATTGACATCACACCGTATACGAACATATGCTGACACACTCGCTACGGATCCACAGGTAGTGCAGCTGTACCTGCGATGGAAGAGCCCGTCAGTCCCCACGCCGAAGATTCAGCTGGTGGGATTCAAGAGGGTGTCCCTGGAGGTCAATCAGAGGGTGGTCGTCAACTTGGCCATAGAAGCAGAGAACATGGCGATATGGGACGACTACTATGGCTGGATTGTCGAGGATGGTAAGTTGGATGAGTACATAGTGAATCAAATCTGGGTTTGTGGGTGGGTCTGAGTGGTGCCTTGTGGTACTAGATGGTGATGGGTGCAGTAGAGAGCTTGGACGTACTTTTAGATAGTTCAAATTGGCGCTGGCTACAGTTGGGTGCCTTGGGTTTCTTCTGGGGAGTTGAAAACAAGACAGTTGTGGTTTTGCAGGGTGGTTTTGAGTGCTTGGGGTTACTACAAGATAGCTCAAAATGGTACTGGGTGGTGTTGTCTGTTGGAGTTTAAAACCTTCGTGCACGCCTCTCGCTATGTTTGTCTGTTGCAGGTTACCTACCCGTGCAACCCTCACTGCGTTGTGTTCTAGGTTACCTATTCTTCCTACACTCATCTGTTGTCCGTTGTAGTTTAAAACCTTCGTGCAACCCTCACCATGTTACATGTTCTAGGTCACCACACTATGTTGTTTATTGTAGGTTACCTACATCCGTGCAACCCTCACTATGTTGTCTGTTGTAGGTTACCTACATCCGTGCAACCCTCACTATGTTGTCTGTTGAAGGTTACCTACCTCCGTGCAACCCTCACTCTGTTGTCTGTCGTAGGTTACTTACATCCGTGCAACCCTCACTTTGTTGTCTGTTGTAGGTTACCTACCTCCTTGCAACCCTCACTGTGTTGTCTGTTGTAGGTTACCTACCTCCGTGCAACCCTCACTATGTTGTTTATTGTAGGTTACCTACCTCCGTGCAACCCTCACTATGTTGTCTGTTGTAGGTTACCTATCTCCGTGCAGCCCTCACTATGTTGTCAGTTGTAGGTTACCTGCCTCCGTGCAACCCTCAATATGTTGTCCGTTGTAGGTTACCTATCTCCGTGCAGCCCTCACAATGTTGTGTGTTGTAGGTTACCTACCTCCGTGCAACCCTCATCTGTTGTCTTTTGTAGGTTACGTGGAGCTATTTGTCGGTGGCCAGCAACCCAACCAGACACCGAGTCTTCCATCAAATGTCCTATCAGGAGCAGTAATGATAAATGGCACTGTCATCCTAGGGAAGTATTAGTTGACATAGTTTCTATTTGTATTGTAAAATATAGTGTTGTTATTTACCTCACCAGGTCTGTTCTTTTGGTCCAGTTTTCAGTGTAATAAAGATTATATAACTGTTGTCAATGCAAACATAACACGTGATATGGATCGAATGGTGACGCTTAATATTGTTGTTGCTATTTGGAATAGTGACAGTGAATATGTTATAAACTGAACGCCAAAAGAAATGTTACACCTCTGAACATTAGAATATCCTAAAATGTTATATGGATAGAAGACTTTGGTTTGGTATGTTTTAACAACCAATCATGTAACTCTATTGAGTCAAAACATCAGACTGAGGAAGTCATTGATAATTAGGATATCGACATGTTTGTTTAGGTGGGGTCCATTGTCCTATTTTCAACCATGTAAAAATTTAAATCAAAAGTGTAAAAAACAGTTTAAAATGGGCCCAAATGATATTGTTTATGATGATAATGCATGCACATTCACCAAGATTGATAAAGTTGGGTTTTGGATATGAAAGAATGGTTGTTTATCGTAAAAAGGGACCCAATGCTGAAATTGGATTTTTGTCTCTTTAAAACACATTCCAACCACTTGAGGTTTAATTTTTGGATCATCATGACTTTCGACTGTTTTAGGAAGAGTCGTCAAACGAGAAAAGACTAATTTTTTCCTTTAGATACTGTAAACTTTTTGCCTATTTCTGTCCTTGTAGAAGAAAGCATAACGCCAAAACGTACCCATTGTAACTTCACCTTGCATGAAATGCACGTGAAAACTGTTGGAAACGGGTATATAAGGCCCCTAGATTTATCATTTTCACCATATACATTCACTACAATGCAGAGATTAACAGCAGAAGTCTGCAGCATTCCAATGGCCCTCTCCCGCTCTTCTGTGGTTAATCTCGGCATTGCAGTGAATGTATGTGGTGAAATGATAAATATAGGGCTTGCATGAAATGCACTGTGAAAACTGTTGAAACGAGGTGTATAAGGCCCCTAGATTTATCATTTCATTGACCATATACATTCAACTAGCAATGCACAGATTAACAGCAGAAGTCTGCAGCATTCCAGGCGGCCCTCTCTCCGCTCTTCTGTGGTTAATCTCGGCATTGTAGTGAATGGATATGTGAAATAATAAATATAGGGGCTTGCATGAAATGCACGTGAAAACTGTTGGAAACGGGTGTATAAGGCCCCTAGATTTATCATTTCACACCATATACATTCACTACAATGCAGAGATTAACAGCAGAAGTCTGCATCATTCCAATGGCCCTCTCCCGCTCTTCTGTGGTTAATCTCGGCATTGTAGTGAATGTATAACATTTTAGGATATTCTAATGTTCAGAGGTGTAACATTTCTTTGGCGTTCAGCTTTTATATTGATGGGCATTAAATGTGTCTGCTGGCATATCAACGGTCGACAGTAGATGTGCATCTACTGGTATATCAATGGTCGACAGTGTATCTGTATCTACTGGTATATCAATGGTCGACAGTGAATGTGTATCTACTGGTATATCAATGGTCGACAGTGTATGTGTGTCTGCTGGTATATCAATGGTGGACAGTGAATGTGTATCTACTGATATATCAATGCTCGACAGTGTATGTGTGTCTGCTGGTATATCGATGGTCGACAGTGTATCTGTATCTGCTGGTATATCAATGGTCGACAGTGTATGTGTATCTGATGGTATAACAATGGTCGACAGTGAATGTGTATCTGCTGGTATATCAGTGGTCGACAGTGTATGTGTATCTACTGGTATATCAATGGTCGACAGTGTATGTGTATCTGCTGGTATATCAATGGTCCACAGTGAATGTGTATCTACTGATATATCAATGGTCGACAGTGTATCTGTATCTACTGGTATATCGATGGTCGACAGTGTACGTGTGTCTGTTGGTATATAAATGGTCGACTGTGAATGTATGTGTGTCTCGTTCTATATCTGTGGTCGACAGTGTATGTGTATCTGCTGGTATATCATTGGTCGACAGTGTATCTGTATCTACTGGTATATCAATGGTCGACAGTAAAAGTGTATCTCCTGGTTTATCATTGGTCGACAGTGTATCTGTATCTACTGATATATCAATGGTCGACAGTGTATCTGTATCTGTTGGTACATGAATGGTCGACAGTAAATGTGTATCTGCTGGTATATAAATGGTCGACAGTAAAAGTGTATCTCCTGGTTTATCATTGGTCGACAGTGTATGCCTGTATCTACTGGTATATCAATGGTCGACAGTGGTATGTATCCACTGGTATATCAATGGTCGACTTTCAAAATGTGTATCTGTTGGTATATCATTTGTCGACAGTGTATCTGTATCTGTTGGTATATGAATGGTCGACAGTAAATGTGTATCTACTGGTATATCAATGGTCGACAGTGAATGTGTATCTACTGGTATATCAATAGTCGACAGTGTATGTGTGTATGCTGGTATAACAATGGTCCACAGTGTATGTGTATCTACTGGTATATCAACGATCGACAGTGAATAAGTATCTGTTGGTATATCAATGGTCGACAGTGAATGTGTATCTGTTGGTATATCAATGATCGACAGTGAATGTGTATCTGCTGGTATATCAATGATAGACAGTGTATGTGTATCTGCTGGTATATCGATGGTCGACAGTGCATGTGTATCTACTGGTATATCAATGGTCGACAGTGTATGTGTGTCTGCTGGTATATCAATGGTCGACAGTGAATGTGTATCTACTGGTATATAAATGGTCGACAGTGTATGTGTATCTACTGGTATATCAATGGTCGACAGTGTATGTGTATCTGCTGGTATATCAATGGTCCACAGTGAATGTGTATCTACTGATATATCAATGGTCGACAGTGTATCTGTATTTACTGGTATATCGATGGTCGACAGTGTACGTGTGTCTGTTGGTATATAAATGGTCGACTGTGAATGTATGTGTGTCTCGTTCTATATCTGTGGTCGACAGTGTATGTGTATCTGCTGGTATATCATTGGTCGACAGTGTATCTGTATCTACTGGTATATCAATGGTCGACAGTAAAAGTGTATCTCCTGGTTTATCATTGGTCGACAGTGTATCTGTATCTACTGATATATCAATGGTCGACAGTGCATCTGTATCTGTTGGCGGCCATGAATGGTCGACGTGTAAATGTGTATCATGCTGGTATATAAATGGTCGACAGTAAAAGTGTATCTCCTGGTTTATCATTGGTCGACAGTGTATCTGTATCTACTGGTATATCAATGGTCGACAGTGTACGTGTATCTACTGGTATATCAATGGTCGACACCAAATGTGTATCTGTTGGTATATCATTTGTCGACAGTGTATCTGTATCTGTTGGTATATGAATGGTCGACAGTAAATGTGTATCTACTGGTATATCAATGGTCGACAGTGAATGCATCTACTGGTATATCAATAGTCGACAGTGTATGTGTGTATGCTGGTATAACAATGGTCCACAGTGTATGTGTATCTACTGGTATATCAACGATCGACAGTGAATAAGTATCTGTTGGTATATCAATGGTCGACAGTGAATGTGTATCTGTTGGTATATGAATGATCGACAGTGAATGTGTATCTGCTGGTATATCAATGATAGACAGTGTATGTGTATCTGCTGGTATATCGATGGTCGACAGTACATGTGTATCTACTGGTATATCAATGGTCGACAGTGTATGTGTGTCTGCTGGTATATCAATGGTCGACAGTGAATGTGTATCTACTGGTATATAAATGGTCGACAGTGTATCTGTATCTACTGGTATATCAATGGTCGAGAGTGTACGTGTGTCTGCTGGTATATAAATGGTCGACTGTGAATGTGTGTGTGTTTCGTTGTATATCTGTGGTCGACGGTGTATGTGTATCTGCTGGTATATCAATGATAGACAGTGTATGTGTATCTACTGATATATCAATGGTCGACAGTGTATGTGTGTCTGCTGGTATATCAATGGTCGACAGTGAATGTGTATCTACTGGTATATCAATGGTCGACAGTGTATCTGTATCTACTGGTATATCAATGGTCGATAGTGTACGTGTGTCTGCTGGTATATTAATGGTCGACTGTGAATGTGTGTGTGTTTCGTTGTGTATCTGTGGTCGACGGTGTATCTGTATCTGCTGGTATATCAAAGGTCAACAGTGTATGTGTGACTGTTGGTATATCGATGGTCGACAGTGAATGTGTGTGTGTCTCGTTGTATATCTGTGGTCGACAGTGCATCTGTATCTGTTGATATATCAACGGTCGTCAGTGAAAGTGTATCTGCTGATATATCAATGGTCGACAATAAATGTGTATCTGCTGGCATATCAATGGTCGACAGTGTATCTGTATCTGTTGGTATATCAACGGTCGTCAGTGATTGTGTATCTGTTGGTATATCAATGGTTGACTTTGAATGTGTATCTGTTGCTATATCAATGGTCGACAGTGAATGTGTATCTGCTGGTTTTTAATTGTCGACAGTGAATATGTATCTGTCTGTATATCAATGGTCGACAGTGAATATGTATCTGCTGGTATATCAATGGTCGACTGTGAATGTGTTACTGCTGGTATATCAGTCGTGGACAGTGAATGTGTATTTACTGGTATAACAATGGTCGACAGTGTATGTGTATCTGCTGGTATATCAATGGTCGACAGTGTATGTGTATCTGCTGGTATATCAATGGTCGACAGTGAATATGTATCTGCTTGTATATTAATGGTGGACAGTGATTGTGCATCTGCTGTTATTTCAACGGTCGTCAGTGAAAGTGTATCTGCTGGTATATCAATGGTCGACAATAAATGTGTATCTGCTGGCATATCAATGGTCGTCAGTGAATGTGTATCTGTTGATATATCGAAGGTCGACAGTGAATGTGTATCTGTTGGGATATCAATGGTCGACAGTGAATATGTATCTGCTGGTATATCAATGGTCGACAGTGAGTGTGTATCTGCTGGTATATCAATGGTCGCATATCAATGGTGTGTCTGTATCTGCTGGTATATCGATGGTCGACAGTGAATGTGTATCTGCTGGTATATCAATGGTCGACAGTGAATGTGTATCTACTGGTATATCAATGGTCGACAGTGAATGTGTATCTGCTGGTATATCAATGGTGGACAGTGAATGTGTATCTACTGGTATATGGATGGTCGACAGTGAATGTGTATCTGCTTATATATCTATGGTGGACAGTGAATGTGTTACTGCTGGTATATCAATGGTCGACAGTGAATGTGTATCTACTGGTATATCAATGGTCGACAGTGAATGTGTATCTGCTGATATATCAATGGTGGACAGTGAATATGTATCTACTGGTTTATAAATGGTCGACAGTGAGTGTGTTACTGCTGGTATATCAATGGTCGACAGTGTATCTGTATCTACTAGTATATCACTGGTCGACAGTGTATCTGTATCTACTGGTATATCGATGGTCGACAGTGTATTTGTATCTGTTGGTATATCAATGGTCAACTGTGAATGTGTGTCTCGTTGTATATTAGTGTTCGACAGTGTATGTGTATCTGCTGGTATATCAATGTTCGACTGTTTGCATGAAACCCGTGTTGTGTGTAGCAAACACGTTATCTATGTATGAAACCCTTATTGTGTGTATGAAATCCGTGCTGTATGTATGAAACCCGTTATCTATGTATGAAACCCGTGTTGTGTGTTTGAAACCCTTGCTGTATATACGAAACCCGTTATCTATGTAGGAAACTCGCGCTGTAGTAGGAAACCCGCGGTGTATGTGGGAAACCCGTTTTCTATGTATCAAACCCGCGCTGTATGTAGAAAACCCGTGCTGTATGTAGAAAACTCGTATTGTGTGTATGAAACTCGTACTGTGTTCATGAAACCCATGCTGTCTGTATGAATCCCGTGCTGGTTTTAAGAATAGAGTGCTACCTGCATGAAACCTGTGCTTCTAGTATGAAACCCCTGCTATATATTCGAATATTACAGTAATAAAATGACTTGCATTCTGGTACTGATGTAAACGCTCCATGGATGCTGCTGTTGTGGTCTCAGGCGAACTGGTCGCTACTGGAAGTGGTAAACCCACGAGAGTGTTGACTTGTCACATACCTGAGAATTACAAGGAAGCGACGGCAGCCCCCAAGACTTCCGTATTCGCAGAGGTCGACAGAACGGTGATGTGCGTAAAGTTTAAATCATAAGCACGTGATCGGAATCTTGACGATTTTACCGCGATTCCTTAAGATCCGATTTGTCACCGTAGAGGTGTGCTAAGGTTCCCCCAACCCTGCCGAGCTGAGCTGGAATTTCGTTTCTGGATCATAGCTCAACCAGTGGCTATCACTGTGTATCTGCTGGTATATCATTGATAGACCGTACATGTGTATCTGTTGGTATATCAATGGTCGACAGTGTATGTGTATCTGTTGGTATATCAATGGTCGACAGTGTGTATGTGTATCTGTTGGTATATCAACGGTCGACAGTGAATATGTATCTGCTGATATATCAATGGTGGACAGTGAATGTGTATCTGTTGGTATATCAATGGTCGACAGTGTATGTGTATCTGTTGGTATATCAATGGTCGACAGTGTATGTGTATCTGTTGGTATATCAATGGTCGACAGTGAATGTGTATCTGCTGGTATATCAATGGTCGACAGTGTATGTGTATCTGTTGGTATATCAATGGTCGACAGTGACAGTGTATGTGTATCTGTTGGTATATCAATGGTCGACAGTGTATGTGTATCTGTTGGTATATCAACGGTCGACAGTGTATGTGTATCTGCTGGTATATCAACGGTCGACAGTGTATGTGTATCTACTGGTATATCAATGGTCGACAGTGTATGTGTATCTGCTGGTATATCAATGGTCGACAGTGTATCTGTATCAGTGGTCGACAGTGTATCTGGTATATCAATGGTCGACATTGTATGTGTATCTACTGGTATATCAAAGGTCGACAGTGTATGTGTATCTGCTGGTATATCAATCGACTGTGAATGCTGGTATATCAACGGTCGACAGTGTATGTGTATCTGCTGGTATATCAACGGTCGACAGTGTATGTGTATCTACTGGTATATCAACGGTCGACAGTGTATGTGTATCTACTGGTATATCAATGCTCGACAGTGTATGTGTATCTGCTGGTATATCAATGGTCGACAGTGTATGTGTATCTGCTGGTATATCAATGGTTGACAGTGTATGTGTATCTACTGGTATATCAATGGTCGACAGTGTATGTGTATCTACTGGTATATCAACGGTCGACAGTGTATGTGTATCTACTGGTATATCAATGGTCGACAGTGTATGTGTATCTGCTGGTATATCAATGGTCGACTGTGAATGTGTATCTACTGGTATATCAACGGTCGACAGTGTATGTCTATCTAATGGTATATCAACGGTCGACAGTGTATGTGTATCTGCTGGTATATCAATGGTCGACTGTGAATGTGTATCTACTGGTATATCAATGGTCGACTGTGAATATGTATCTGCTGGTATATCAATGGTCGACAGTGAATGTATCTGCTGGTATATCAACGGTCGACAGTGTATTTGTATCTACTGGTATATCAACGGTCGACAGTGTATGTGTATCTGCTGGTATATCAGTGGTCGACAATGAATGTGTATCTACTGGTGTTTCAATGGTCGACCGTACATGTGTATCTGCTGGTATATCAATAGTCGACAGTGAAAATGTATTTTACGAATTTCCAATTTTACGTATTTCGTTTCTGGATCATAGCTCAACCAGTGGCCATCACTTATGATGCCCCCGCTACTGGTCACCCATCGTATTACATACACATGAACGAGTAAATGAATTTTATGAAAACTGAAATAGAGGAAAACAGCTTTCCCCGAGTGAAGTTCAAATGGCTTAAAAGAAAAACAGGAAGCATGATCTGTATATTATCTAAGATGCAAACTTGACAGTGAGGCGACTATGATATTAAAATATTTTGCCAGAATCAGGAAGTGTGTAACTTGTCATGATCAGCAGTATATATGGAATAATAAGTCATTTGCACATGTAGTTTCAATGTGAAAACGAGCAGTGTACGGACAATAGTGAGTATTGGATACAAGTTTATAAGTGTAAGATACAGCATAAACAGGTACAACTTTATCTTACCTGTGACTGTGGACATTTGGTTATCAAAATGTTGATAAGCTGGAGCTGACACAGAATACAGCTTTGATAGAATTTTGCGGTATTTCACAACATAACAGAAATATGTGTTTGTGAACATGCTTCAAACTGTCGTCTTCCAAACATACTCATGTCATGCTCTATGGAAATATAATAGAAAACATTTCGAAGGCCTAATCTGAAATGATGATTCAGAAACATTGTTCAATAAACTCATTTTAGACCTCTATCATTAAGCCCTTGCTCCTTCAAGTGCTTGAAATCCGAACGAAAAGTAAGGCCAAAGTCAAGGCCAAACGGACTGCAGCCTAAGGACTCTTGAACTCCTTGACTTCCTTTCAGGAAAGCAATGAACGTGCGATGAGATTCAGCATGATATACTTGACCTGCGTTATACATGACTGATGATTGGCCTCCTGGAATACACCCGGTGTGAACCCGTCTTACACAAACCAAACATAGTGCAAAATATCATTGAAATATTAGCAGCCTGAAACCTTGGCTTCTACAAGGGTTTCCTATTGGCAATATCTTTGAGCTCGGGTCCTCCACGTGCAACGTAATCATCTGCTCCCTGTCCAGAACGGGCTTCCCAGCAGTTAAATTGTCAGAATTTTGAGTACTGTCACTAGAAAGTTTAGACAGGTCGAGATAATGATCCATGAAAGCGCCAGCTGGAATCACAGACAGGTGACATTTGCCTCGTCCTAGCACGTGTCACAACACAGCAAGGAAAATTACCTGTAATTTCTTTTTCAAGTTTTCTGTACTTTCCGTGGAAGTGCTACATTCATGACAAACAACAGGACCCACCAGACAAACCATTCCCAATAAGCAAGTCCACATCTTTACTAGTGACAGTTTCTGAAACCCGCACCTTTACAAGCCCAGCCTCTGACAAACCATTCCCAATAAGCAAGTCCACATCTTTACTAGTGACAGTTTCTGAAACCCGCACCTTTACAAGCCCAGCCTCTGACAAACCATTCCCAATAAGCAAGTCCACATCTTTACTAGTGACAGTTTCTGAAACCCGCACCTTTACAAGCCCAGCCTCTGACAAACCATTCCCAATAAGCAAGTCCCACATCTTTACTAGTGACAGTTTCTGAAACCCGCACCTTTACAAGCCCAGCCTCTGACAAACCATTCCCAATAAGCAAGTCCACATCTTTACTAGTGACAGTTTCTGAAACCCGCACACTTACAAGCCCAGCCTCTGACAAACCATTCCCAATAAGCAAGTCCACATCTTTACTAGTGACAGTTTCTGGAAACCCGCACATTTACAGCTTCCAGCCTCTGACAAACCATTCCCAATAAGCAAGTCCACATCTTTACTAGTGACAGTTTCTGAAACCCGCACCTTTACAAGCCCAGCCGCTGTCTTTCCTTCTCTCGGTGCTCACATGTATCGTCTTTCATGTTTGACCATCGAGTGAGTGAGTGAATGAGTATGGTTTTACGCCATTTGACAGCAATATTCTGACAATACCACGACGGGGACACTAGCAAAGGGCTTCATACATGGTCTTTACCCATGTGAGGAATCGAAGTTGGGCGTGACGAGCGAGATGACCTCATCGAGAACGTATTTCCCACATAGAGGCCTGGCAGTAGTTTGCATGAACCCAGAGTTGTCTCAATGACTGTAATTCATACATAAATTAAATACAAGAATTTAAGATTTCGTGTTTCTTTTTGGTTTTATTCGCGTAATTATTGCAGATCGTCTTGAAATTGCAGTGACCACTTCAACAATTCCTTTCTATTCGTGTTCCTGAGCTTCACACGGGGTGCCGGACTCCCAGGCTTCGTTCTCCGACTTGTTGTCCCTGAAACAAAAGGACCCATTTAAAAACAAAATCTCACTTTACGCACCTGACGTTACATGTAACATCAACATACAACACCTGATACAATATCATATTGCGCATTCTTTGGCCACAGGTTCCAGCACTGAACACATTACTGGTACCAGCACTGAACACATTACTGGTACCAGCATTGAACACATTACTGGTACCAGCATTGAACACATTACTGGTACCAGCATTCAACACATTACTGGTACCAGCATTGAACACATTACTGGTTCCAGCATTCAACACATTACTGGTACCAGCATTGAACACATTACTGGTACCAGCATTCAACACATTACTGGTTCCAGCATTGAACACATTACTGGTTCCAGCATTGAACACATTACTGGTACCAGCATTGAACACATTACTGGTTCCAGCATTCAATACATTACTGGTACCAGCATTGAACACATTACTGGTACCAGCATTGAACACATTACTGGTTCCAGCATTGAACACATTACTGGTTTCAGCATTGAACACATTACTGGTTCCAGCATTGAACACATTACTGGTACCAGCATTCAACACATTACTGGTACCAGCATTCAACACATTACTGTACCAGTATTGAACACATTACTGGTACCAGCATTCAACACATTACTGGTACCAGCATTGAACACATTACTGGTTCCAGCATTCAACACATTACTGTACCAGCATTGAACACATTACTGGTACCAGCATTGAACACATTACTGTACCAGCATTCAACACATTACTGTACCAGCATTCAACACATTACTGGTACCAGCATTGAACACATTACTGGTACCAGCATTCAACACATTACTGGTACCAGCGTTAAAACATTACTGTGCCAGCATTCAACACATTACTGTTACCAGCATTCAACACATTACTGGTTCCAGCATTCAACACATTACTGGTTCCAGCATTCAACACATTACTGGTTCCGGCATTCAACACATTACTGGTTCCAGCATTCAACACATTACTTCTTCCAGCATTCAACACATTACTGGTACCAGCATTGAACACATTACTGGTGCCAGCATTCAACACGTTACATCTTCCAGCATTCAACCACTACTGGTTCCAGCATTCAACACATGTTTTGTTTCCGTTACACAGGTATTTCCTAATCACCACGTACTTGCTCGTTCTAGGAAATGATGTGCACAAACAATTTGCTCCACCTCTTACGGACCATTCATCAAAGACCTACTTGCAGATGGCGTGCTTGAGGGCGTCGCAGCCCGTCACTATGGTGCCGTCAGTCATGCAGTGTTCTATCATGTCTTTCGTGCACATGTTGGACTCGCAATAGAACAGCGGCAGGCCTGAAAACAATACAGTCCCACGTGAACGAATTGTCAAATACAGATACAATGACTGTTTGATTCTACCTGGTACTCCACAATAGATGAGGTACATACAGGTGATGTGATACAATGACTGTTGGATTCTACCTGGTACTCCACAATAGATGAGGTCCATACAGGTGATGTGATACAATGACTGTTGGATTCTACTGGGTACTCCACAATAGATGAGGTCCATAGAGGAGACGTGATACAATGACTGTTGTTCTACTGGGTACTCCACAATAGATGGCGTACATAGAGGAGACGTGATACAATGACTGTTTGATTCTACTGGGTACTCCACAATAGATAAGGTCCATAGAGGAGACGTGATACAATGACTGACTCTACCGGGTACTACACAATAGATGACGTACATAGAGGAGACGTGATACAATGACTGTTGGATTCTACTGGGTACTCCAATATGGAAGCTGTGATTAAAGGGGAAGTGATAAAATGACTGTTAGATTCCTAGAACATTTGATACAAGGACAGTCTAATGTGGTACATCGGTTAAGAAGATATCAATGTAGAGTCTTCCCATAACGTAGGGAATATTCCAATATAACAGATGATTACAGACATACAAAGAGACATCGAGGTCTGGTAATGGGTGGATAAGGGAAAAGAAGTCTTGGTGTAAAATTTCAATACACAAAATGTTGGCTATTTATTGCACTAGTGCAAATCACCAGGAAAGACGTCAGGTTGAGGCAGATATTGATGCTGAGATGGGAGGGTGATGAGGGTGCTTCACCGATATACTTACATCTCTGGCCATCCTGCCATAGTCTGTTCTCCACCATACCGTCCCTGTAGGGAAGGACAGGAAGTGAGTGAGTGAGGTCACACATTGTATTCTTGTTGGGAATCGAGCCCGGGTCTTCTACTTAACGAGCAACCGCTTTACCTGGGGTAGCATAGCAGTTAAAGCGGTTGCTCGTTAAGTCATGAAACTCATTTAAACCTTGTACAACGACATATGAATCAGTTGGTCGATATAGTTAGTACCTCCTACGTCTTCAGCTGACATCAGATTAAGTGTACAGTCAGTATATATATTACAGCACCGTCTGGGATATGTTTGTGAAACGTTCTCAACACCATCGATTTCATTTACTCAGATTTCCCCAAACATATGCGGAGCTATTTGAACTGGAGCCACATTTGTGAACGCGTGGACCCACGACTCACTGGCAGACAGCTTGTTTGAGGTCGCTGCAGCCGTGCATCACGACGCCGTTGTTCATGCAGTGGGGGATGAGGTCGGCCGTGCACACGTCACTCTCACAGTACCCGTCGGGAAGACCTACAACAATATGGTAACGTTACTACACACAGTACCCGTCGGGAAGACCTACAACAATATGGTAACGTTACTACACACAGTACCCGTCATGAAGACCTACAACAATATGGTAACGTTACTACACACAGTACCCGTCGGGAAGACCTACAACAATATGGTAACGTTACTACACACAGTACCCGTCGGGAAGACCTACAACAATATGGTAACGTTACTACACACAGTACCCGTCATGAAGACCTACAACAATATGGTAACGTTACTACACACAGTACCCGTCGGGAAGACCTACAACAATATGGTAACGTTACTACACACAGTACCCGTCGGGAAGACCTACAACAATATGGTAACGTTACTACACACAGTACCAGTCAGGAAGACCTACAACAATATGGTAACGTTACTACACACAGTACCCGTCGGGAAGACCTACAACAATATGGTAACGTTACTACACACAGTACCCGTCGGGAAGACCTACAACAATATGGTAACGTTACTACACACAGTACCCGTCGGGAAGACCTACAACAATATGGTAACGTTACTTCACACAAAGAACTTAATTAAGCACCCCCTGTATTTTGGCAATGATAGGTTTTCAACACGTACATACAACTTCTCGTGGTGTCCACGATGGAAAACATGAGTTTTTCTGACCCATATGATCCTTTGACTGATAAAAAACGCCAAATATTTGGCATCTTTGTTGATTTTATGATGAAATTTGCTCAGTGTTTAAAAAAATACACACACTGATTTTCACAGAAAACCATGTCTGTACAAGTATGGCGCTGGAATGTTAAATATTGAATTAATTGGTGAATGTGAACATTCAAAATGCCATTTTGCGTGTCTTATACGATTCAAGGTCAATACCGAGTGTAACCTCCATGTGACTGTATGACAGCCATCACTCTACACCTCATACCCCCTGTCAGCTTCCTGGTCCTCTGAAGGGATAGTCTACGCCATTCCTCGTGTAAAGCAGCTTCCATTTGGGCCAGATTCTGTACAGAAGGATCCCTTTGTCCCAGATATGCTCCAAAGGGTCATTCAATCGAGAGATATGTCAAGGGTGCTTAGCTAAGTTCTTTGTGAATATTAATGAGTGCCCATATAATTCTATCCATAGGTGTGGTGCAGTGGTTAGACTGTCCAAACACATGTACCCACTGGTACCAACATCTTACAAAACAAGGAATTCCTCCTACATGTCCATCACTTGCCCTATCAGCAGACGATGTACTCAGCTCACTCGCACTCCTTTGGTCAACGTCCTGCCAACGCCCCACAGTACGCCCCATATGCCTGACAACACCCATACAAGACGCAACTAAATGTTCCCTTCACCCACCCACGACACCCTCACACACACACCCTCACACACCCTCTCACACACACACACACACACACACACACACACGCACACGCGCACGCGCACACACACACACACACACACACACGCGCGCACACACGTGTGACTTCCGGCATCCACACCCGACTTGTCCCACCCAAACAAGGACCCGCCTTACACTCACATGATGTTCGAGGGGTCCAGGCCATCTGTTCCGTCAGGTTCCTCCTGCAACATGAGTGTTTGACAGACTGAGTGAGTGGGCACAATTATGGTACATCCTGCTGATAATAACGCTATTTTTACGTAGTGAGTACTGCATAGGTTTCCGGACTGTATACCGGAATAATCCAGTGTCAACCTGGCATGCCACATTTCATATATCCTGTTTTGGGACTGTTTTCAGCCTCGTGATCTGATTTACCACTATTTACTGCCCTTTGTAATACAATGATTTGATTCGATTTGGTTTTAAATTTGTCATATCGCCAGTGAGCCCCCGTCGAACGCTTGAGAAATCAATTACTATTTATTTATAGTAATATTTTCGTGACGTTTTGAAACGTTTGCAATCTTCTAGTGAGAGCCAGTGTTCAAGTGTGTGCTTTCTGACCAATTTGGGTGTTTTTTCTACTAAGCTGGGATCCGTCTGTGGGTTAGTCTCGCTGACTGGTGTGCTCCTTGTGCGACGCTGACGCACGTTTGTTATTATTACAGGGTTCCCCATGTTCTGACTACAGTCCTTGCTGCCTTCTCTACTTGCTCGATATACGCTTTTGTTGTCAAAGAGTGCTAATTGTAGAGGCTCCCTGGTGAAAATCACGTGTATCCTTATGTTCCAAAGGGAGGTAACTAGTGGCAGTATTTTTTAACAGGCTCCTGTGACTAATCTAATAATCAAGTCAGTATTAACTTGACAAACATCTACTAGATGTGTATTTATATCCACCGTCTATGTTTTGTACAGACAAACAAACACGAACTGACGCTGATTTTCCATGCTCATGAACTGGGAATAATCTTAAAGGGAGAACTACCCTCATACTCATGCTAGATTACACCCGTGTCTGCATATGCGAAACTCAGGATCACTATGAACAGCGTACTATATTTCTGGGCCTCAACAAAAGTTCACTATTTTCTCCATACAAAACATACCTTGGAATGTTATTGTAACCGAGATTGAAGCAGTATTTGTAATGAAGGCAGAACGTGTTGATGTGGCCACCAACATCACCAACACAGCCACAACAAAACAGCACTAGGTCACTTTATGTAATACTGCAATTATGTTGATGTAAGTGTCGTGGTACCCGTAGACACACCTATACGTATTAGCAAAACATAAAGGTCTGTGATTTTTCAACAGATAAGATTGTGCAAGTCCAAGGAAGAAATATTTTAGCAACGTTATAAATTTACCAAATAGAGTTAAATAAGTTAAATTAAGGATGGACTATGTCATTTCCGTCATAAAGCTGTTGAATTAAGTTAAAATCAGTTGAATCATGTACTCACGAGCAGACAGCGTGTTTGAGGGCGTTGCAGCCGAGGACGATGGAGCCGTCACTGAGACAGTGGGGCAGCAAGTCGAAGGTGCAAGCCAAGTTCTCGCAGTAGTCGGACGGGCGGCCTGAAACGTCAGTCAGATACTACAGTCAGATACTACTGTCAGATACTACAGTCAGATACTACAGTCAGATAATACACAGATACTACAGTCAGATACTACAGTCAGATAATACAGTCAGATACTACAGTCAGATACTACTGTCAGATACTACAGTCAGATAATACAGTCAGATGACGCCCAATGTCATATTGACATAATACCCTAATGTGGGAGTATCACTTTAGCTGCCGTACGTTTACAGTCCAACTATAACCCGTATATACAGTGACTTTCTGCACTTTGCATGGTAATCGACCCTGATCGAGCCAATGCTTTTACCCACATGGTCAGCTCGCCATCAGTTTAAACATAGCACTCACAGGCTTGTGAAGGTGACCAGTCTGTCTGTTCAGTCTTCATGTCGCTGCAAGGAAAACAGTCATCCTGTTAATGGAGTAGTGGTGACAAGCAGCGACATCTAAACTTACACATGACAAATAAGGTTTTCTTTGAGATGATGTAGACAAAATATATTCAGGTCCTTAGGAGCTTATCTCTTGCGTTGTTGGCCCAATTTGTTTGATTGTCAGCCAAATAAATGCTGGTCCAGCGTTGGCCAAATACTTCTGTTAATGTACAGCTATAACAGCAACAGAAGGACAATTCTGGTTGAGACGACCTTTAATCAATGGTTAAATAACAATCACAACTTGGACACAGTTGCCAGGAGCCCTTTCTGACCTCAAATATAGAGTTAGAAGAACGGATCAATGGACGATCTCTTCACGTACCCGTGGTCTCTCCATGTGACCTGGCCACTCAGTGCATGGTAAAAGATGGTCAGATATTAATTCTATTCTCAGCAAAAAAAACTTTTGAGAAAAATATCCTTAAATTCTTATACATATGTTTGGTCTCCTCACCTTTAAACAGTAAACCTGCTAAAGTGGGAGGGTCCTATTTAGCACAGTACCATGAAACCCTTGCCCCACTTAAAGGAATACCACTTATAACTGAATTACATTAAAATACAATATATATTTCTATGTCTTCATCCTTAAGAATGTTGTATTTGATATTATGTAATATGCAATTATGTCCTCTGGACATAGATGTTGGAAACACCATTTATGTCAGTGCAGAGCTTTAGGTGCCGCCACAATACTGTTAACATAACCTGGAAGACGAATAGAAACAGATTATCTGTCTGTTTGAAACACGGACATTGCAAAATGAATAAGGTATTCTCTAACTGAAGGTCTGAATGTTGAATGTAAACATTGATAAAGTACCCATGCGTAAGTAGAGCGTTAAAACTCTAGGGCAGATGACCCGTAAAGATCCAGGTTAGAATTGATCTTCAGTACCCGATGCTTGTCGTAAGAGGCGAAAGATCGGGTGGTCAGACACGCTGAGTTGGTTGACAAATGACATCGTATCCCAAATGCTCATGCTGCTGATCACTGGATTGTCTGGTCCAAACTCGATTATTTACAGACCACCGTCACATAGCTGGAATATTACAGAGTGCGGCGTCTCTCTAGTTTCCAGCAAATAATTACCGGTAGTGGTATTTCTGAGAAAAGACAATGCTCTTTCTTCCGGTACAATTTGAACTTTATAAAACAGTGTAATTATGCACTTACCGTTATATATTCGAGGAAAATAGCAGTAAGGTTGGATATACATGTATTGTTGCGAAATAAAACATCGCACTCTCTGTGATGTTGGCAATTAAGAGTAGCGTCCCTTGAAGGAAGCATCCGAAATAATATCTGACGCTGTGATAACACTGAGCCAGCGTGAGAAACCCGACCGCGACATCGTCAACCAATATCAGCTCTGGAACATTAGGGTTCCTGTCTAAAGGTCTACATGACAAAACGTTTGTATCCCAAAACTGCTGCAGAAAGTTCAGCGAGGAAATTGAGAATACCTATTTTGACATTGGGACAGCCCAGTCGGGTATTAGGTGATGAGAATTAAAAACTAATTACTTGGACTCTGAAAAAAGGACATCAGTTTTTGAAGTACATAAAAATACAACAATACTATGTCTTAATGTGCTATCAAACATTGTGATACAATGGTTTCATGACTCAAATGTGCTATCAAACATTGTGATACAATGGTTTCATGACTCAAATGTGCTATCAAACATTGTGATACAATGGTTTCAAGACTTAATGTGCTGTCAGACATTGTGATACAATGGTTCTGGCATGTAGAAGTTTGCGAGGATACCCTCATTGTTATCTGGGACTGATGTTTACATTACTGCGCACATAAGCACGCTCAGTCAACATACTCGCAGACTGCGGTCTTGAGGCCCACGCATCCGTAGACGATGGTGCCGTCTGTCATGCAGTGAGGCGCGTAGTCCATGGTGCACCACTCTTGTTGGCAAAACTCGGAATTGTCTGCAAGCCCGGAACCTGTATCAAGTATAAGTGCGATTATATCAAACACTAAAGGGAACTGAGATAGTCCTGTTTAACTCGACCACACTAAAATAACTGACGGCCACAAGAAACTTTACACTGCAAACTGAAACAACTGAAACAACTGAAACAACTGAAGCAAAAGTCACGTTGAACTGATGAGACACTCGCTCTGACAGAAGAAAGCCTATGAAATTCCCGAATGGCACTAGAACAATAATTCCAGTGTGTGACACAGATGGGATTGGCACTGGAGCAACGGGTCCTGTGTGTGACTGAGATAGAAGTAAGCGTTTCAGTGTATGACACAGATGGAAGACACACCAGAGCTACAGGTCGAGTGTATGACACAGATGGAAGACACACCAGAGCTACAGGTCGTGTGTGTGGCACAGGTGGAAGACACACATACTTGAACTATCGGTTGCCTCCGTGTTTCTGTAACAAACGTGATGCAACAGGTATGGTCGACTTCAGACAGCCCATGGCAAACCCAGGACAACGTTCTACACCCAATGGAGACCGGTACCATATACCTTATAGATGTGACGTGTCAACAAACATGGTCGATTCTGGATGTGTGTGCGGATTGTCCATTACGGTGGAAGCTTGTTTCACCAACACCAACCTACAGCTGTCATGGCAATATTGGATGCTGCATTACTGTCAGTTTCAATGTTGATTTCAATGAGATGCTGGTGTATTCAATACATTTTACGTAATGCATCTCTCTTTTATGATTTCTTTTTAGAAACAACAACTAAATCGATTTATAGCTGTGGTAAAGTTCTTTTGATGGCCAGCTGTGGGAAATGTTTCTATAAATATTGTTGCAAAGAAACATGGCTACGAGGATACATACCGGCGAGACACAGCGCAGCAACAATAAATGCAGCAATCATGGTGGCTTGTTACTGGAAGGGTAAGTGACTGTAGTGAGTGAAATAGGTGAAACACGAGCATTTAAAACATACCTCGGAGAACAGGGTATGGATAAGCACGCTGATTCAACAAAGCCCCCTGACGGAACAGAGAGTTAATGAATGAAACTCAATAACTGAAGACTTACACAGTAGCGTAGTAATGCCTGAAGCACGACAATTCAAAACAGACTTAAGAGTGTAGAGAATCGAGTTGTGAAACACAATCACATAAAACAAACCAGAAATTCTTATTAAATGCAATGAGTAACACGCAGTCATATGAAACAACGCGAAAGGTCACTGTTGCTGTGATCGGTACAAGCTGAAAATACTATGGAAAAGAGACAAGTACATCTTTGATTTCTTCATTTTTCCTTTAAGTATACTTCAACAAAGTGACTTACATACAGAAGATCATATCTACCACTGAACTCTCTCTGTCCAACCCATACAGTAGGTTGAATCTACCACTGAACTGTCCCTGTCCAACCCATACAGTAGGTCGTATCTACCACTGAACTGTCCCTGTCCAACCCATACAGTAGGTCGTATCTACCACTGAACTCTCTCTGTCCAACCCATACAGTAGGTCGTATCTACCACTGAACTGTCCCTGTCCAACCCATACAGTAGGTCGTATCTACCACTGAACTGTCCCTGTCCAACCCATACAGTAGGTCGTATCTACCACTGAACTGTCCCTGTCCAACCCATACAGTAGGTCGTATCTACCACTGAACTGTCCCTGTCCAACCCATACAGTAGGTCGTATCTACCACTGAACTGTCCCTGTCCAACCCATACAGTAGGTCGTATCTACCACTGAACTGTCTCGGTCCAACCCATACAGTAGGTCGTATCTACCACTGAACTGTCCCTGTCCAACCCATACAGTAGGTCGTATCTACCACTGAACTGTCCCTGTCCAACCCATACAGTAGGTCGTATCTACCACTGAACTGTCCCTGTCCAACCCATACAGTAGGTCGTATCTACCACTGAACTGTCCCTGTCCAACCCATACAGTAGGTCGTATCTACCACTGAACTGTCCCTGTCCAACCCATACAGTAGGTCGTATCTACCACTGAACTGTCCCTGTCCAACCCATACAGTAGGTCGTATCTACCACTGAACTGTCCCTGTCCAACCCATACAGTAGGTCGTATCTACCACTGAACTGTCCCTGTCCAACCCATACAGTAGGTGGGAAGGAGGTAGACACCCTGAAAACTTCTAATACAGACTCCGAAACCTATTACGGGCTTGATAATGTGCCTACTCGTATATAGACAAAACAGTCGGTGGATGAACGCAATGCAAGCTTTAATGTTGCAAATACATCAGCTACTTTCGTACCAACAGAAATCCTTGCTATGACTTTATGTAAATAGCCCAGGACATATCGAAACAAAGTGAACAAAAGTGAACTTACGTAGTGTCTGTGAAGAGATGACCCAGCGAGTGTCAAGTGTGCATCCTTTATACCCACCTACAGCTGATGACCAGTGCTGATCAACTCACCTACAGCTGATCACCAGCACTGATTATCTGCAGATCCCCCAACGGAGACAGCCCCTGGCAGCTGTGAGTGAGGGCGACTGGCGATGCTGATCTCCGCGTGGCGGCAGGTGTTGCCCCGGCATGTCAAACAGCTCAAACCAACGTTTGAATTCCGTATGGAGGTTGACATGATGCAAGGTGTAGACGTAAATACATTCAATTTGTAATGCATGTTTGTTTTCCCAAAATCAGAGGAAAAATGTTCATTGCCACCATTCAAAATGACTATTGTTGAAAGGTTTAAGACGCTGGATGCGTAGTGATGCAAGCAAATAAAAGTCTTTTGAAAAGCACTTCTTACAAAACATTGAACTTGTCTCATTCTACAAGTCCGACAGTTACATGGACTGGCTAGTCAGTGCTGTCATGTCACATTCAACAAGTCCGACAGTTACACGGACTGGCTAGTCAGTGCTGTCATGTCACATTCTACAAGTCCGACAGTTACATGGACATGCTAGTCAGTGATGTCACATTCATTCACAAGTCCGACAGTTACATGGACTGGCTAGTCAGTGCTGTCATGTCTCATTCTACAAGTCCGACAGTTCACGGACTGGCTAGTCAGTGCTGTCATGGTCATGTCACATTCTACGACAGTTCTGGACAGTGCGAGTGGCGTCAGTTACTCATTCTACAAGTCCGATGCAGTGATGTCAGTCTCATTCTACGCTGGCTAGTCAGTCATGTCTGTCTACCTTCTACAAGTCCAATAGTTACATGGAATGGCTAGTCAGTGCTGTCATGTCCCATTCTACAAGTCCGACAGTTACATGGCCTGGCTAGTCAGTGATGTCATGTTGCCTTCTACAAAGACCGACAGTTACATGTTACCTTCTACAAAGACCGACAGTTACACTCAGTGGCTAGTCAGTGCTGTCATTTCTCATTCTACAAGTCCGACAGTTACACGTACTGGCTAGTCAGTGCTGTCATGTCTCATTCGACAAGTCCGACAGTTACACGGACTGGCTAGTCAGTGCTGTCATGTCTCATTCTACAAGTCCGACAGTTACACTCAGTGGCTAGTCAGTGCTGTCATGGCTCATTCTACAAGTCCGACAGTTACACGGACTGGCTAGTCAGTGCTGTCATGTTACCTTCTACAAGTCCGACAGTTACATGGACTGGCTAGTCAGTGCTGTCATGTCTCATTCTACAAGTCCGACAGTTACATGGACTGGCTAGTCAGTGCTGTCATGTCTCATTCTACAAGTCCGACAGTTACACGGACTGGCTAGTCAGTGCTGTCATGGCTCATTCTACAAGTCCGACAGTTACACGGACTGGCTAGTCAGTGCTGTCATGGCTCATTCTACAAGTCCGACAGTTACATGGACTGGCTAGTCAGTGCTGTCATGTCTCATTCTACAAGTCCGACAGTTACACGGACTGGCTAGTCAGTGCTGTCATGGCTCATTCTACAAGTCCGACAGTTACACTTAGTGGCTAGTCAGTGCTGTCATGGCTCATTCTACAAGTCCGACAGTTACACGGACTGGCTAGTCAGTGCTGTCATGGCTCATTCTACAAGTCCGACAGTTACACTTAGTGGCTAGTCAGTGCTGTCATGTCACATTCTACAAGTCCGACAGTGACACGGACTGGCTAGTCAGTGCTGTCATGTCTCATTCTACAAGTCCGACAGTTACACGGACTGGCTAGTCAGTGCTGTCATGTCTCATTCTACAAGTCCGACAGTTACACGGACTGGCTAGTCAGTGCTGTCATGTCACATTCTACAAGTCCGACAGTTACACGGACTGGCTAGTCAGTGCTGTCATGTCTCATTCTACAAGTCCGACAGTTACATGGACTGGCTAGTCAGTGATGTCATGTCTCCTTCTACAAGTCCGACAGTTACATAGACTGGCTAGTCAGTGCTGTCATGTCTCATTCTACAAGTCCGACAGTTACATGGACTGGCTAGTCAGTGCTGTCATGTCTCATTCCACAAGTCCGACAGTTACACTCAGTGGCTAGTCAGTGATGTCATGGCTCATTCTACAAGTCCGACAGTTACACAGACTGGCTAGTCAGTGCTGTCATGCCTCAATCTGCCTTCGCCATGCTTGTGAATGTGTTTTGAAAGGTCCATACTTGCTTCCACCCAGAACACGTAGACATAGAAAATGTTTAGCACAATATTCTTTAGAATAGGCCTGTATATCTTATACCCCCATTTCACTGGATGGCGGCATAGAAGGATCGTCGCGGATATGCGCGGAATGGAGTCTATGGATAGTCTTCGACATTTTTACACGGAAAAATGGTTAAAATCCTACGAAAAATTGTAATTTGATCTCCTTCGGAATACATTCCGAACGTTTACGGAATATACGTAAAACAACTGCGGCAAAACTACGGTAGAACCTAGGATTACTTGCGGAATACCCCACAGAAGAAATGCGGAACAAGTAGGAATGTGTGCTGAATGCTACGGAAGACTTTCGGAGTGTTAGAGGAACACATGCGGAAACCACGGAACGATGGGGGAAAAGCTACGGCACTAATCCGTTTGAGAAGGAAGAACTTCGGAAGAATTGCGGAAACACGCGGAATAACATCGGAATACTTGCATTATAGCCGGAATGACTGCGGAAGCTCCTCGTCAACCACGTTTAATTTCGGAACGAACGCGTTATTTCTGCGGATGAAGTCGGCAAAGATCATAGGATTTTCACCTGATTCCGCCTATAAATACGCGGATTCGACCAAGGAAGCTCAATTCTGCAAGGGAAGACGTACTGGAAACACTTCAAGAAGCTCCTCCAAATGGACCAAACTAGAGAGAAGGCTGACTTGGAGTTGCTCCACCTGCTGTTGTTGTTTAACGAATACAACGAAGTACAACGTGACATAGTCATACACCGCAGAAGACGGCAAAGGCGAAAGGCATACACGCCCAAACGCTTCTGGGTACGTCCATGGCGGAGGGTGGAACGAAAAATTGATCTTTGGAACTATGACAATCTCATGGAAGAGCTCCGTTTCGAAGACAAGCAATCCTTGTTCAGTTATCTCCGGGTGCCACTTAACCTCTTTGACGAGTTGCTCACAGTCTTGGCTCCCCGACTGACAAAGAAGGACACCAACTTCAGTAGTGCACTCAACGCTGGTCTGAAACTAGCTGTCACCTTGCGTCCCCTGGCTTCTGGCGACAAGTATTCAACTCTGGCCTACAACTTCAGGGTATCTCGCCACACCATCGCAAGCTTCCTACCCGAGGTCTGTCAGGTTATCATTGAACAATACAAAGACGAAGTAATACAGTGTCCACATACTGAGCAGGAATGGAGAATACTCAGCTGGGAGTTCCAGGATAAATGGAACCTACCTCATGGGAGCCCTGGATGGGAAGCACGTCGCCATTCGAAAACCACCATCAAGTGGAAGTCTGTACCATAACTACAAGGGCTTGGTAGACGCCAACTACAGGTTCCTGTGGATAGATGTCGGTGGGATGAGCCACATATCTGATGCCCAGATATTCAACGCCTCAAGGCTTAAAGAATGCATCGAAGACGAAACCATCAACTTCCCCAGACCTGAACCACCCCCATGCGACGACGATGACACGCCATACTTCCTTCTGAGGGACGATGCTTTTGCCCTCAGAAAGTACCTCATGAAGCCATACTCCAGGCGAGGCCTTACAGAGGAATAATTGGAGTTCAACTACAGGATATCCAGAACACACAGAGTCGTTGAGAATGCCTTTGGCATCTGAAACTCTACTTCAACAGTGAAGCAG